AAAGGGAACATTTTGGAATCCTGGGATTTCCACTTCAGATTTGCTGTATAGCTCAGCAATCTGACATTAGCATGTACACATCTCAGCACATCCTACAATTAACTAACTAAACTTGGTATCTGCGGGGCATGTGCTCGGAGTACTCACTGGCCAGTTTTTCCATCCCAATGGAGCAGCAGAGATGCCACGGTGTGAATGCACTTGGGGTTGAGCTTCTGGCTGTTTGAGTGGCCCCTGTGAAAGGTGTCTGTCTCCCAGGGCCAAGCTGTTTCTGCTTCTAACCATTCTTCTCCCAGATGTCACTGCCTGGGGAATGTGCACACCCTGGCTGGTGACCCTGAGGTCCCTGGCAGAGATGAAGGGGCTGTGGGAGGCACATAATGGTGAGCTGGTAATTGGCTTTAAATAGATGGGAAGATATTTTTTGAACTATTAGATATAAAAGACAAATGAACTGAAAATAGCTTCAGGAAAGAACATTTGTACTTGAACATGTTTTTCAGTTCTAGTTTGTTTTCAGTGAAGCCTCTTTTAAGCTTGAGCTGAAGTAGCCGTGTATGTGAGAGTGCCTGCAGGTTGTCCTTTTACCAACAAGTTTGTTTTCAGAGTTTTGGAGGCAGAAACCACATCCAAATTAAAGAAGAGAAATCCTTACCAACCACACGCCACTTTAAAGTCAGAAAAAATTTATTTTAAATAAGCCAACAAAAGCCACTGTTGATATGGGGCCCACAGTGTAGTAGCCGTGTATGTGAGAGTGCCTGCAGGTTGTCCTTTTACCAACAAGTTTGTTTTCAGAGTTTTGGAGGCAGAAACCACATCCAAATTAAAGAAGAGAAATCCTTACCAACCACACGCCACTTTAAAGTCAGAAAAAAATTTATTTTAAATAAGCCAACAAAAGCCACTGTTGATATGGGGCCCACTGTGTTTGTTCCCTTGGGAACAGAACTATGAAATAACTTATTTGGGACTGGCTGATGTGCCTGACAATGTAGATCCAGAAGCTACAATAAGGGAATATTCATGTTAACTTGTGATTATCCTTCCATGCTACAAAATAAGAGAAACGGTTTTCAGTACATAAAAACAGGATTTTTGAGCAAGAATCATTAACAATAGTATCTTTAGTATGATCCAAAAATATAAATGCAAAACAAGCATCTGATATCTGTTTTTAAGGTGCTTTAAATAGGCTGCCTAAGTAATCAACCCCCAATAGTTATACCTATAGTTACAATATTACAAAAGCTTGAATTTTACTACAGTAAAAAGTTTAATTCGAGAATGAAAGAAACATTTACTTGTATTCAGAAGTCATTTCCAGCTTACAGTGGACTTATTGTTGGCTATTGGTCTCCCATTGTCCAGACCAGTCAGTTTGAAAACAAGAAAAACCCAGAGACTAAGGGTAAAATTCAAGCACTTTCCTTCCCTACCATCAACTAGATATATTGGTTGTTACCGTAAAACCCAGAATCAGCTGTAGCTTTTTCAGTCTCTGTAGCAGTCTGCCATTTGTCAGGTCTGCTCTGGGGTGTACATTTTAATAAAGAGGCTCAGTTTTCAGTCCCGTGGCTAGGGATGGATAACTGCATTTGTGCCCTTGACATTTCCTGGCTCCCAAACCGAAAAAGTTCCTGTCCAATACTTCCTGGCATGCTCACTTTCTCTGCTCTTTTCTTTTTTTTTGGGGGGGGGGCAGTTTGGGAGAGCTTCATAATAATAGCAGCATGATTAGATTGAGCCAACTGTCAGGGTATTCCTTTCACAAACATTTTTTAATTGTTAAATTGGACTTTTACATATTGGCTTTTAAAAAAATCTTTATTGTTGAGAGTACAGTATTACAGATGTTCCTCTTTTTTCCCCCTCTCCCCCCTCCACCCAGTTCCCGGCCCTGCCACAGGCCTTGGCCATCCTATTGTCAGTGTCCATAGGTAATGCATATATGCATATAAGATCTTTGTTTAATCTCTTCCTGCCCCCCCCCCCCCTTCCCTCTGAGAATCATCAGTCTGTTCCATTTCCATGCCTCTGATTCTATTTTATTCATTAATTTATTCTGTTCATTAGATTTCTTGTTTATTTTGATTTTTAGATTCAATTGTTGATAGGTATGTAGTTGTTGCCATTTTGTTGTTCATATTTTTTATCTTTTTCTTCTACTTCTTAAAGAATACCCTTCAACATTTCATATAATTCTGGTTTGGTGATGATGAACTCCTTTAGCCTTTTCTTGTCTGTGAGGCTCTTATCTGACCTTCAATTCTAAATAATAGCTTTGCTGGGTAGAGTAATCTTGGTTGTAGGTCCTTGCTATTCCTCACTTTGAATATTTCTTGCCACTCCCTTCTTGCCTGCATAATTTCTGTTGAGAAATCAACTGACAGTTGTATGGGCATTCCCTTGTAGGTAACTAACTGCTTTTCTCTTGTTGCTTTTAAGATTTTCTCTTTGTCTTTAGCCCATGGCATTTTACTTATGATGTGTATTGGGGTGGTCCCCTTGGGTTCCTCTTGTTTGGGACTCTCTGTGCTTCCTGGATTTGTAAGTCTATTTCTTCCACCAGGTAGGGGAAGTTTTCTGTCATTATTTCTTCAAATAGGTTTTCAATATCTTGCTCTTTCTCTTCTTCTGGCACCCCCATAATGCGAATGTTGGTATGCTTGAAGTTGTCCCAGAGGCTCCTTACACTATCTTCATATTTTTGGATTCTTTTTTTCATTTTGCTCTTCTGGTTGGGTGTTTTTTGCTTCTTCATATTGCAAATCGTTGATTTGATTCTCAGAATCCTCTACTCTACTGTTGAATCCCTGTATGTTATTCTTTATTTCAGTCAGTGTATGCTTAATTTCTGACTGGTCCTTTTCCATTTTTTTGGAGGTTTATAGAAGATTCTTGAGTAAACTTATAACTGTGGTTTTTTTGAACTCTATATCCAGTAGTTTGCTTTCTTCCATTTCTTTCATTTGTGACATGTTTCTTTGTCTCTGC